CCCCAAAACCCCAAAACCCCAAAACCCCTTTTATGAAAATTTAGATTGGAATCGATTAATTTGGAGGCTTAATTACCGGCTTCTCTTTCTTAACATGCTTGCTGATACATACAAAGAATTTTTCAATTGACGCATGAACCAGCATTTGATGCAGCCAGGACAGGCTTACCCTGACTACTTCCCTAGTGGTGGGATATCTAGTGGTGGGATGCCTAGCGGTGGGATGCCTAGCGGTGGGATGCCTAGCGGTGGGATGCCTATCAACCAGATGTATGCCCTGCCTCGGCAAGATATGGGCCATATCATTAGGATCAACTTCTATGTGCGAGGCTTGAGACCTGTAATCCTCCATGTTGACAAGAGAAGTGATACTTTAGATAGCTTGAAGAGGAAAATATCAGAAAAGCTCAACTTGCAATGGAGGTAAGAGCAAGAAATTATCACTTTAGCCTAGATAAAATTTTGGATAACTTCAGTTTTTACTTGGAAACAGGAGCAAAGGTAGAGGATATAGGTCTCTTAGAAAATAATGATCATGTCCTAATGGATGACTGATCCGACAAAATGAAAAATCAGAGTTGAAAGCGGGAAGATGAACTAGAACGACTTCCTCCAATTTATATGAAGCCAAAAGAATATTATTCTGGATTCGGTTATAATCAAGGAAACAGAGTATATGCAGGATATCCTTTTCATCCAATCCCTGTACTTTTTATACCAGATATGCTTCCTAAGCAAAGGTGCATGGAGCTGTTAAAAAGTGAGCCTAAAAAGCCTCAAAAGATTAATGAAAATTCTGAAATTTCCTCTCATCAGACAACAACTTACGATTACTCTTCTACTAAAGCAAGCCCTCATGCACCATTAGATTTGTTCAAAAGTCAGAAAAACTCTGAATTATTTGATCCAAACATCCATATTAGAAATTCCAGTCCATTAAGATCTAATACCACCCAAGCAGACAACAACGACGATAACTCCTCCAGACCCTCTAAAGACCCTTGATCATCTTAAGCCCAAACATGTTCCCACAAGGTAACTACCATCCTTAATTTAAACAAAATTCTTGAACTTTAACTCTTGCTCTAACCTATTATTATCGAGATTTTATGCTAAGTCCTTATGACCCTATATACGGGTATGGGTATCCTCCAATGCCAATATACGACCCCAAAAGTATCAAGGTTGTGTGCAACCTTGACGATGTACTCAGCAAGGCTTATTACTCGAGAAATCATATGATAAATGACGGTACAGTAGGTTGTAACAAATTATAGTCAGGAACATTGCCAGGATTTATGGATTTAATATTTGCATTCCAAGAGGTGATATCAAGTATAAAGGAGGCTCACAGCAAGTAGTACTCTACTGTGATAGATACGGTAAAAGAAGGAGGAAAAGTAAGGACTGTAAGACCAGAGGGACTAAGAAAACAGGGTGTCAGTGGAAGATCAAGTTTCAGAAACAATCTAATGGTGATAAGTTTGTACTCATTCCTTCAAAGAGCTGTTTCCATAACCATAGGCTAGAGCCGAAGACTGGCACTAAAGTTCCAGATATTCATGATATTTATAAGGAGATCGATGAAGCAAAGAGTTATATTTCAGAAAGCGAAAGTGCTAGACCTGACAAAATTGATGATACTTATAATATGCTCGAAGAGACATTTCCTGGATTCTCTGATTCTGAAGGTAAGATTGATGAATTGATCAAGCAAGAGACTATCTAATTTCAATAAATTACTGTATAGGCGGGGTTTTGGGGTTTTGGGGTTTTGGGG